TGATACAGTAACTGGGGTGATGGGGGTTGGTGTGTCAGAGTTAGTGAGACTGGCTGAGAACAGGGAAGGATTCAGAGCTGCTGTATATAGGGTCGCTGTGCATTGCTGGCAACTCAATCAATAACATTCTATGACAGGTTTGGAAGCAGGAGTGGCATCCACTTCCTCAATAACATGCCTCCGGGAAACTCTATGAACGTTGATAAGTGTCGATAATTGTAGAGGGACTTCAGGCCTTTTGTTCATAGGGCCGCTGTGAGTCGTGTTTGACTCAAAGGCAATCAACAACAACAACAACATAATTATTATATTTGAGGCCATTGTTAAGTCACTGTGCCAGTTCATCTCATTAAGATCTTCCCATTTTGTAGCATAGCATTTGAGGTATGTTTCTTGATAATTCCAACGGCACCATGGAATCAAAAGAATGAATGACTAGAGAGGCAGAGGATACTTTTTCTAAAGTAGAGAAGCCTGGAGGAAAGGACTTGTTGATTAATTGCTACTGACTTCACTGCCTCAGTGATTTTTTTCCACTACTTGAGACATTTCAAATTTGACCATTGCGGCCTAAATATCATGAGCTCTTGGAGACGTGATAGTCAAAGGTATTTGGTTGATTAGTAGCTAACTGTAGAACAGGATACTATCAAAAAGTTCTGTGGTTGGAGAACTGCTCAAAATCACTGGCAATAAGACAGATGCAAATAAAAACCACAATGAACTCTCATCTCACTCCAGCAACCGTTGCAAAGTTTAACAGGACAGCAGGTAATAAATGTTGGAGAGAATGTGGCAAGATAGGAACTCTTATACATTGTTGGTGAGAGTGTCAAATGGTACAATCACTCTGGGAGGCAGTTTTGCCTTTCCTCGGAAAGTTGAACATAGAAATTCTATATGACCCAGCTATTCTGCTGCTTGGAATATACCCTGAGAAAATGAGAACTGAGGCACAAATGGAGACATGTACACCAGTGTTCATAGCAGCATTATTCACCATTGCAAGAACATAGAAACAGCACAAATGTTTGACCACAATCAAATGGAATGAGAAATTATGGTACATTTACACATGCAGGAGCAATGATTTTGTAAATCACTACCTAACTTGGAGGGACTGGGGAGCATTATGCTGAGTGAACTAACTCTGTCCCATGAGGACAAATACTGTATAAAATCATTATTATCAAAGTAGATAACAAGTAAAACATTCACGAGGATCTAAAGGAGGGGAGTAGAGGGGTATGGAATGGCCCAGGGGTGGGTGATCATGGAGTTGCATGGTTTGATGGGTGAAGGGGAGAGTGAGTTGGGGAGCGGGGGGGACCCAGTGTTAGGGGCAATGTATATGAACTTTGTAGACAATCCAGTATACATTTTTTTTAAAAATTGCAAGAAATAAAAAAATTCTGCAGTTGGAAACTGCTCTGCAGGAGAATGATCTTTTGTAAAGATTTATAGCTGTGGAAACCTTGTGGGGAAATGTAACACTGTATTATAGGATCGCTAAGAATTAAAATCCACTGCCCAGCAATGGGTTTGGTTTTGGTTTGGCCTAACCAGCCTGTTCTCTTAGTCTATAATTTGTTCCCATTTGATAATCTCATTTTTTAAAGTTTTTCAGGTTGGTTGTTGTTAGGTGCCATCAAGTCAAATACAACTCATAGTGACTCTGTGAACAACAGACCGAAACCCTTTCCTATCTTGTGCCAACCTCAGTCTCTGACATACATAGCCCTGTAGTCCCTGTGTCAATCCATCTGGTTGAGGGTCTTCCTCTCTTTCACCATTCCTCCACATTTCCAAACATGATGGCCTTCTTCAAGAAATAGTGTCTTCCTTACAACATGCTCAAAGTATGTGAGACAAAACTTCATTATCTTTGCCTCCAAGGAACACTCTTGCTGTCCCTTCTCAAGACATAGCTAGCTTTTTGTTCTTTTCGTGGTGCATAGAATATTTAGTGCCTTTCTCCAACACTACAGTTCAAAGGCATCATTTCTTCTTGTGTCATTGTTATTCACTGTATAGCTCTCAGAGCATAGCAAGTGATTGAAAAGACCATGGCCTGAATCAGGCACACCTTCGTCCTAAAGCTGAAATCGTTGCTCTTCAGTAATTTGGAGAGGTCATTGACTGCGGGCTTTCCCAGTGCAATACTTCTCCTGATTTTCTGAGTTCCGGTACAGAGGGTACTTGATTGTGGATCCAAGTCAGAGGAAGTGTTTTACAGTTCAGTCTTTTCTCCATCTATCATGATATTGCTTATTAGTCCACTGGTGAGAATTTTGGTTTAGTTTGTTTTTATTTTGTTTTTGTCTTTTTTTACATTGAGATGCAAGCCACATTGAAAGCTGTAGTCTTTGATCTTCTACCACAAACATTTCAAGTGCTCCTCACTTTCAGCAAGCATGGTTGAGTTATCTACATGGTGTAGGTAATTAATGAGTTTTCTTCCAATCCTGGTGCCACATCCTTTTTCATAGAATCCAGCTTCTTGAATAATTTGCTCAGCATACAGACTGAATAGGCATGGAAAAAAGAATACAATCCCGATACTCACCTTTCTTAATTTTAAACCATGTGAGGAGAGACCGGTCCTTAGAGAGGGACATCATGCTTGGGAGGGTGGAGGGACAGTGCAGGAGGGGAAGGCCCTCTATGAGGTGGATTGATTCAGTGACCGGGATAATTGGGATGGGAGTATCAGAGACAGTGAGATTGGCACAGGACAGAGCGGAGTTCAGGGCTGTTGTACATCGGGTCGCTATGAGTCGCAGGCGACTCGATGGCACATAACAACAACAAGTGTCCCTTTGCTCTGTTTAGATACACGTTTTGCATGAGAACAATTAAGTGTCCTGGGATTTTGATTTTTCTGCTGGCTAGCCATAATTTTTTATGAGCCACATAGTCGAATTTCTTTGCACAGTCAATAAAGAACAGACAGGCATTTGTCTAATATTCTTTGCTTTCAGCCATGATCCATCTGACATGAACAATGATATCCCACAGACTCTTCTAAATCCACCTTGAACTTCTGGCAGTTTTCTATGTGCTGTTCTAGCCATTTTTTAAAATAATGTTCCACAATATTTTGCTTGCATGTGATATTAATGTTATTGTTTGATAATTTCCACATTATATTGAAATACCTTTTTTGGGAATGGGAACAAATATGGATGTCTTCTATTCAATTGCCAAGGCAATTATCTTCCAAATTTCCTGGCATAGACTGGTGAGCACATCCAGGGCTGCATCTTTCATTGAAATATGTCAATTGTCAATTGGTATCTCATTGATTCCTGGACCTTATTTTTTGCCAGTGTTTTCAGTGTACTTTGAACTTCTTCATTACCATGAGCTCTTGATCATATAGTACTTCCTTGAATATTTCAGTATTGGCCAATTCTTTTTAGTACATTGTACTTTGTTGAATATTTCAGTGTTGGCCAATTCTTTTTAGTACAGTGACTCTGTATTCTCTCATCTTTTGATGCTTCCTGTATCATTTATTCATGATTTTACCCAGAGCATCCTTTTAGTATTACAACTCAAGACTTGAATTTGTTTTCCCATTCTTTCAACCTGAGAAATGCCAAATGAATTCTTCTCTTTTTATTCTCTAATTCCAGTTTTTTGCACATTCCATTATAATAATTTACTTTGTCTTCTCAGCCTGCCCTTTGAAATCTTCTGTCCAACTTTTTATTTCAGCACATCTTCCCTTTGTTTTGGCTCTATTGCAATTTACAGACTTTATTGTGATTTTTAGGTTTTTTTTAATACTTTTAGTTTCTTGGATTGAATAGTTTCTAGTTTAAAAACTGAACTGTCGAATCACTTCCAACTCATAATGACCCACAGTCAGATTTGCAGGGCTTTCTTTCGTGGAGCAGCTGGTAATCCAAACTGCTGACCCTAGCAGCTGTGATACTTGATGCCTCTAAGCCACAAGGGCTCCACGTTTTAGCTTGATATTGTGTACTGTTGAGTCGGAGCTGATCCATAGCTGACCTTCCAGTGAGTTTTCAGAGTGGCATGGGAGCAGTTTGCTCATCTTTTTCCAGCAGAGTCGATGTGAATTCTGCCCTATCTTTTGCCATCCTTATCATCTCTGAGCTCATTCCTGCAGTCACTGTGTCAATTAATCTTGTTGATGGTCTTCCTCTCATTCACTGACCCTCCACCAATGACTATTGATTGACCTTCTTTTTAGCAACCTTTCTGTAATTGGTTTTGGTTCCAGGAGATTATTATTTTACAGGTTCTTTGAAATTTTCAACCTAGACAATTTTATTAGTCCATATTATATTGTTTTGAAAGTCAAATGGGAGAGATTCAAGGTCAAATTTTGGTTCCTGTGGATTTGATTTAACCTTCAAGCTTTGGCTTGAGCTTGAACTCAGCAAGTGACCTGACGGCACAAGACAACAAGAAACAACAATATTATATTGTTGGGTGCCATTGAGTCAAGTGCAACTTATAGCAACCTATGAACAACAGATCTGAATTTGCCCTATCCCGTGCCATCCTCGCTCTCTAATATACTTGAGCCCATTGCTGCAGTCACCATCTTGATGAAAAACACCACTGCAGTCTAACTCAATGGGGATCTTCCTCTCTGTTACAAATCTACCAGCATCTCCTCAGAAGAAAGATGATCAGTCTTCTCTGGTGCAATTTATAGCTTCAGAAACTCCATAGAAGTTAATCTATGAGTTGGTTCCAACTCACAGGCTATGAGGTTGAATTTGAGCAAATACAGATGGTTTTATTTCATCCTTCTCAAACTATAGACCTTTTATTCCCTCCCCCCCTTTTATTGTACTAGCTAGGACTTCCAGAACATGTTGAATAAAATTAGAGAGACAAGACATTTTTATCATGGTTCCTTCTGAACTTAAAGAGATGTTCACTGAATTTTAAAATTAAACTGAATGGATAATTTTCAGAGATGCAGATAAATATGATGTTCCTTTAAATTTTTTCCCCAGGTGGTTCTTTGAAACTCTGAAGTATCCTAAGTTTTCCAAAGTTAATGTTATCAATGGAATACTCATGACAGTGGCATTTTTCCTCGTGCGGATTGCTGTGATACCTCCCTTTTATTACTTCATGTATTCCGTGTATGGAACAGAAGCCTACAACAGGATTGGAATTTTAATACAGTCTTCCTGGGCTGTTACTTGTATTGTTTTAGACATAATGAATATCTACTGGATGATCAAAATTACAAAAGGGTGCATCAAAGTCATCTCTCTCATCAGACAAGAGAAAGCCAGACATCTTCAAAATGGAAAAGTGGACTAAAGAGGGAAATTGATAAGCAAACTTCATTACAACCTGGAATTTGTGTCTGCTGATAGGATGAATTCTTGGCATGTTCTTTTGTTGTTTTTATTAATTACAAGTGTTGTTCAGGGTTATGTGTCATTTTTATTTTAACTTCAAAAAAGAAAAACTAAAATTTAGGTTTTATTCTAAGATTTCTTTTTGTTTTTCTTCTATATTATAAAATTTAAATAAAAATTTATAAATATAATGGTGGATCTTTTCAGAAACCTGTTAACTCGCATCTTCTGTGAAAAAATTACTATACTAATTCAATATATTTGGGTTTATGTCATCAATTTTGTGAAAATATTGGGAACTACTTTTAAATCTAAATAGCTGTCAATTCTTTATTATACTGCACTCCTTTATTATAACTGCCAACTTGCGTATAAAGTTTTGTTCCTAAAGTGTTTAAATAGTTTCTTTTAGGCTTTTGGAATTGTTATATTTTACATTTCAATCATGCAATTGTCTACTAATAAGGAAGCATTTTATTCACTGGAGAAATATTTAATTTGCCTAGTCAAGGAAAAATACTTCCTGCATTTTAAGATATTTTTTAGACATTACTTTCTTATTTGTATTTCTAGCATTTTGTCAAATTATTCCCTTTTTATTTTATAAGTCTCTTTAAGTAGTGAATGAGTTTTCAAATGCATGTTGATATATCACTATTAAGGCTAATAGGAGCAATAATTTTTTTTTTTAATCTTTAGCACTGTTGTCCTTGTCTACCTCCCTTGCACCTTTTCTATGAAAAATATGTTGCAGTCAACCTTGATTTTTACCCAAGTTTTGTATTTGTGAATTCACCAATTTGATAAAATTGATTTGTGACCCTAAAACCAGAGTCCCTGGGTAGTGCAAATAGTTGATCTACTTGGCTACTAACCAGATGTTGGAGATTGAAGACTACCCAGAAGCCACTCAGAAGAAAAGCCTACTATTCATTTCTGAAAAATCAGTCTGGACAAACCCCATGGAGTGCAGTTTGACTCTAACATACAAAAGGTTGGTCATCATCCGTTGAAGTTGGTTTTTGTCTTTTGTTAGTTTTAAAATCAGAAATTGCCGCACTTTCAATATGTACTCATAGACATGGACAGAGTGGCAAAAAATTTTAATTGCTTAACATTCACATTCCCAAGTGAGGACTCTGACATGTTGCTTCAGCTCACATTCAGTAAACAAGTGTCTTTTAATTTTTTTTTCCCATCTTACCCCATATATTTTAAATTTTTTGTGGGTTTTCCCCCCTCTTGGTGATTTCACCATTTAAAATGGACCCTAAAGCGTAGTGCTCCAGAAGGCTTCCATGTGCCTTAAAGAGAAAATAGATGTGCCAGTTAAGTTTCATCTGGGAACGAATTACAATGTAACTGTGAGTTTAATGTTAATGAATTAACAATATCTATTACAGTATCTTTAAGCAGAAGCACACATGAAACAAGCTTATGTATTGGGAGAAAATATGGCCAGATGCTTGCAGAAAAGTAACTGTATTCTCCTAGGAGCAGTGATTTGATATTTGCTAATCCACTTTATTAGTGATTTTACATAATATAACTGCACTGAATAATGAGAATCAACTGCTTTCTATTTGTAAAATCTCTCCTGATTTCAAAATGCATTATCATTAGTGTGAAAGTCTCATACAAACTACATTTTGTGATGAGACCAAACTACTTACCAAGAAAAAAAAAAGTCAGTGTTCTTTTTACTCATAGTTTACAACTTGTTTGCTTAATCAGCATTTTTAAGCCTTTGAATTTCTCTTTTCCTAGAAGACAGGGCAGGGTGGGGGGGTGGAGAAGAAGAGAATTTAATCACAAGCATTCTGATTATCATTATTATTATTATTGTCTTCTTATATGAATATAAATGCCTTGTGACCCCGTGTGTGTGTGTGTGTGTGAGAGAGAGAGAGAGAGACAGAGACAGAGAGAGAGAGAGAGAGATATCTTACATTTGCTTTGATTCTTGCCACCCAAATGTGGAGTCATATACTTATTATCTATTATTGCCATTATTTATTTTTCTCAAGTACTTGACTTTAATAATTGTGCTTATCTTAGAAAAAAGAATTAATTTAACAGTGGTGAATACTTGAATTTAATTGAGCCCAAATCAAAAGATCTGATCCATTCAGTTGCTTAGTTTGAAGGAGAATTTATAACTCACTTTTACTGTATACATTATAATGAGGAAAGGAGGCTGGCTTATAATCAAACTCTATTTGATTTTCCAATGCAAGTAAAGTTTTGAACATTGAAAGAAAATAATTGAAATCTTAGTAACTAAATGATAAAATGTGATTGTCTTATATAGGTACACTTCTTTTTTAAAGACGTAAAGTAATAGATCATTTGTTCTTTAAGCTACTAATATTGCATCATTAATTTGTTACTAAATTGGTTCCTTCTATATCATAGGCACTTATATGTGTATTGGATGGTTAGCAGGGGTTAGAAAACAAGTGATTTTATCTTGTTCTTGCTCTTTTGCAAGAAAATAAATGACTTTAAAAAAAAGCAATTTATATTCTAAAATTATATTTTGGAAATTTCCTTTAGAAATAAATCTTGAAATCATATTTTCAACTCTTGATATTTCTATAATTCTGAACATATATTTTAAAATCATCAAAATAATACAGTACAAAATAAAAATATTGACTCTACCTTTAATGGTTTCAGTTTATATCGTTGATATCATATATTTAAAACTTTGATTTTACTTTCATTGTTGTTACCTTTCATTGAGATACTTACTCTCTTAATAAGTGTATTCCCAATATAAAAATTTTGAACCAGATCAATAAATGAGTGTACTTAGAATACAAAAGTTTTGAACTCTTCTTGTTTATCCCTTAGTCAGAAATCCCTATTTTATGCTAGCTGCATGATGTTTAATGTCTAAAATTTGTTTTAACATATACGTATTTCCTCATAACAACAGACATAAGATGGAGTACAAACTGTGATGCTATGTAAAGACATTTAGAGACACTCTGATAGCCTACTGGTTAAGGATTTGCACTGCCCACCCAAAGTTTTGATTCCACTAGCTGTTCAAAGGAGAAAGATGGGTTGGGTGGGAAATCTCCTGTGTGATTTACAGCCTCTGAAAACCTGCTATGAGTTTGTTCTGACTCAAAAATGAGTTGAATTTATACCATAATTGCTGTCTGTGGTTATATCTACCCATCTAAAGTACAAATACTTAATGATAGAGCCTGTCACTTATTATGAGAAGAACTTTTATCAAATGAGATTTTGCTAGACATTTTCATATTTCGCTAAATGGATTCATTTAAATGATTCTATTTAGCATTCTGATCATAAAAAATATACTTAAAATATTTATATAAAATAAAAGCAAATAGGTATGACTTTTTAAAGCCACTATTTTTATAGAAAAAGATTAGTGATAACTTTAACTATCAAGCATTCTTTGGATGTTTAGTATTCTATAAAATAAAAATCAATTCTTAATGTATGCAAATCAACTAGTATTCAAAATTATAGACCTTGCACTAAATATGTAATTTGGGAGAATTTTAAAATTACAAGCTTGTGTTTATGAACTTTGCATTCTTATGTCAAAATTTATGAAATGTAGATTATTTGCACTTCTTTCAGACTCAAGATGAAATTGCATATGAATGCAAATCCAGAAAATAATTTCTTAACTACTTCTTTCTCACTACATGGTTATGAGTTGAATTTTTATTCCAACTGCTAAATTTTGTTATTTCGTGCACTGACACTGTGTTAGAGGAATCGTAGTTATGTTTTCCAACTCTAACAGTAACTTTGATAAACACTTTGATATTAGAGTGATCCACTAGTATACCTTGAAGGTCTAGTTTTTAAAACTGTCTGGTTATTTGAATAAAATTCTTTTCTAAAATTTTAATAATCCATTTGAGTGAAATTTTTTTTCTAAGGTACCTGCTTTTCAAGTATTGAGGTTCTCTGAGATGCACTGGGTGTTTGGAGAATGCCCCTTCTTTCTCATGGATATCAGAGGGGAAGGTGTTACTCTAATGTTCATAGTGCTGCTCTTTCATGTGCGAGGGAATTAAACATATTCCAGAAGACTTTTGGAAAGAAATGTACAAATTTCACTTTCTAGGTTGTCCCTAAATCCAAATATGTTTTAGTGCATTTTAATTTGAATGCTTTAAGTGGTTTAGTTTTGTTTGGTGACATTGAAAAGTCCAAGCCATTTGTTGACATCATTTATTATAATTTGTGAAAGACGAGGTATTTTTTGTGTGTTTGGAATACATAAGCAAATTAGTGTAGTGTGATCAGAAGATGGAACCAGCACAAAAGTGAGACAGACCCTCCCAGGACACACACACATACACCTTCCAATACCCACCACAGTGGGCTGATGACAAACACATGAAAATGACCATAAGAATTTTAACTTAAAGCACACATGCAAAACCCATGGGTGGGGGCCGGGGGGGGCGGGGAGGAAAGCCTGCTAGACCTGGTACCTGCATTTTCCTTAAAAGCTGTGATGCTCTTGACATCTGTGATTAGGACATATCCTTTCTGAATCCTTTTCCCATCTTTTCCTCCTAACACCCCAAAGACTTCATTAGCATCTCCACCCCCCACATCAGTATTTTACTTTCTCAGAAGTTCACAAGTATGCTCTTTCATTGAGGAAAAAGTATTACAGTAAGCTAATTTAGTAAAGATCAAACAAACACAGTTATTAGAAGGCTAGGGAAGCCAGTATTTATTCATTAGTACCTGTTTACAACGTGAGGCAAAGCTAATAATATTTTAGTTTTATGGAAAGAACATCTGTAATATTTTTTCAAGTGGTTTTGCAGTAAGTGCAAAATAGCGCTTCAAATGGAGATGTATTGTGGTGACTGGGGATAGGTGCCCCTGAGTCACCTCCAACTCGCAGTGACCCTGTGTATAACTAAACCGCCTGGTCCTGCACCTTTC